GCCACGGCTGAATCACGGGCTTGGCCTTGTGCTTGGGCTTCTCCATTGCCTCCAGCACCTCTGCCACCCCTTTCTTCAGGTCCAGCCATCGTCGTAGCTGCTCCAAGGCGCTCTGATACCACTTGTTATAGTCACAATAGGCTTCAATAGGCTTCAATATGCCTAGAACCAAAGATAGAGTGCGCAGTCAGATTTCCACACAGCGGCTTTAAACGATCATAGCGATCTGCTCACAACTCCAAATGACCTCATTCAACTTGGATCTGGAGCGTCTCAACGTCGCCTACACTAGGCAATTTAGATCGCACGATTTCATTAAGAAATGACGACACAGCGTCGAATTGAACGAACGGCACTATGGCAGCAACATAGTCTTAGGAACACAATTACGAACAACTAGGAAGAGTTACGAGTTGGGAAGGACTCCCAGCTCCTACAAACCCCAAGAACCGAGGTACAGTGATGGGGAACAGTGCCACACTGTCCCCAACCAAGAAGGGTCTCGAAACTACCCTCCACAAGGGCCTACACCCATAGAAATGTTACACTACAAATTGTAATGTAACTATCTTCAATATCTTGAGGTGTACCCTTTTGGCCAGCTTCGAAAAATCACTTGAAGCTTGTAACCAAGGCTCGGGTTCTTCATCACAAACTCAACCTTGAGTTCTTGATGGGTCTGCTGCACACACCTGCGACACGCCGAACGTTCGACACAGGACAAAATAGAAACCGCGCACGGGACACACGACAAAATAGAAACCGCGCGCGAGACAAGGTTTCCAGGAAGGTTAGTGAGGTTTATGAGTTGGCACAGCTCGAGATGCTCGAGAGACGACAGGCGATCCATGCTCTCTGGAAGTTCCCAAAGAGCTGAGCAATCCTTGAGGACCAACGTGCGGAGGTTAGAAAGATCGCAGAGAGAGTCAGAGAGCGAATTAAATTCTCGACAATCTCTGATAGTTAGCGCCTTGAGAGAACCTAAGCTCGACACTGCGTTTAGAAGGGGATCAGACCCTTTACACTTCACGAGCTCAAGGACTTGCAGAGATGAAAGCTCGAAAAAATAACTCGGGAGTTCGGAGAGGGGATAGCCGTTTAGGTAGACCTCTCGAAGGTTCCAAAGCTGGCCGACGGTGTCAGGAAGAGGTATTCCGCTGCCCAAATCACGAATGCGAAGTTTGACCAGTGACTTCAGCCCACCAAGCGAGTTCGGTAGACGGTCGAACGCATCAGAACTGACTGTCATCATGGTAAGCGAGAGGAACTGCAGCGCAGTGCAGCCTGTGAAGAGGGCATCTAAGCCTTCATACGTCACTCCTGGATAATCTCCTTTGTTCAGGTCAAGATAGATTAGCCGTGGACAGGCGGATCCCAGGCCACGAAGGAACTCGTCATTGTCCTTGTCAATAACGCACTTGTTAATCGTGAGAGAAGTCAGGTGTCTGAACCGGGAAAGAAAGTCCAGAAGAGCAGCATCTGCTTTAAGGGAAGGCTGGCTGATGGCGATGGACGCCTGGGCAAGGTAAGCGAGGCGATTCCAACGTTTACAGACCAACGCGTGATTCAAGTAGCTGGGTGACTACTTGTTTAGACAATGGAAGATGAAGCAGATGAGGTCGTGAGGTAACCGATCTCCTTCGTTGCTGGACATTGTCAACACGTTGCTGCGAAGCGTAGTAAGCCAAAGCAAATATGGAACTAGAGAGCTGGCAAACAGAGAGCTGTACTACATACCTCCACTGAACCTTATCCTGCCGCAGGATATGTAGGAGTAGGAGGGAGCTTGTCAGGTCATCTCAAGACAACATTGGCTCAGGTTGGCTTGGCAACATCCGTGCTGCGAACGTGTCTCATGTGACCTTGTCGCGACCTCAGTTTATATGCTTTGGTCCGGCATGCTGGTCCGTCGGACCCACGAGGCGGACCAGCCGTGGCGTGGACCGGACACGAGCTTGTCTGCAAGATTCAGCCGCGTCTCGGCCTGAGAATTACACAGTATCGACGAACCCTCTTTCTATTGCCTGGTGTTCACTCACCATCCGGTGACGTGTGAAACACGCGAACAAAATCAGAGTCGTTAAACATGCTGGAGTCGTTCGGACCACCCACGGCTCCGTTTCAGTGTAAATCAACGCTATAACGAGGTTATTCTCCGCATGCTGGTTTTTCCACCACTGGATCACCCTGCGGTTCGCGAGCTACTCTGGTGGGTCCATATCGGACCCACGTGGACAAGCGCCTTTTAGACGCCATGGAATGGAATATGGAGCACGCACTGAAGGGGAATGTGATTCGGCTTTTGCGCTTTTGCTTTCACGCATTGGTTCCAAGTTGGGCGAGTTCCAGGGACCTCGGTTTCGCTGCCTCCGTTTCGCGGTCGTGCTTTCGTTGCGTTTCTTGTAGAGCAAGGTGTATTTTCGACTCGTGTTACCGTTTCGTTCGGCGCGTTACGAGTACTTTTCGCGGAAACATGATTTCTGCATCTACAGCTTCCGATCGCCACGCGTAAAACTGAAGTAGGTACATCAATAGTACAAATCAAGCCCATAATCAACGGCAAGGGTCACGATAATCAACGGCTATATCTCGCCCATTTTCATGTTTCAAGCCTACATTTACCCGCCGCCGGAGGAGGTATGGACCAAGATCAAGAGGATCTGTCACAACTTCGTGTCGGGAGGCGAGGCGACGGACGAGAAGACCTTCATTCTCTGGAACTACGAGCTGATTTGCACACCAAGGGAGGAGGGGGGGCTGGGGATGATCTGCCCCAAGAAACGGTTTGACAGCATAGCGGTGCAGAATGTTGGGCGCATGATGCTGCAAGCAGCCTCAGTCAAGAGGTGGCTGATGGAACAGGCAGCGGCGATGCCCTTGGGCCCGGACACGATTTACGCCCACCACTCCCTGCTGAAGCACTAGACGAAGGGCAGCAAGCGGTGGAAGGATATGGTGCAAGCGTTTTGGAAATCGCCTTTCTGCGCCACACCGGAACCAGAGAATCGCTGGGAGGTGGAGCGAGAGCAGCTGGCTTTCAACAGACGCATACCTTTCCCGGGGAGCAGCCCTTTCGGGAATCAGAAAGGCTCGCTACGCTTACTGGGCCTGACGATGGGCGATCTGATCTGGCGACGGGAGGATGGCTCGCGAGAGCTGAAAAGCGAAGCCGCTCTGGCAAGCGAGCTCGGGAGCACAGAGACGGCGAAGCTGGCTCGGAAAGCCTTCGAGGCGGTGCCGGCCAGATGGAGGGAATTACTGCTGGAAACCCTGACGAGCGGAGAGATCGCGGCTAAAGTCCCTCTACTGCGGCATCAGAGGAATGGGGCTTCACGCCCTACGCTCTGGAAAGTTAGCGGCACGGACAACGGCAAGGTGGTGGGGGTGCTGTTGTCATGAAGGCGCTGGTGGATCTTTCACAGTCGGGAGCGGTAAACACCCGGTCCACTTCGGGCTGCAAAGCGGGGAGCCGGTGGCAGCTACGGGGGACAAGGTGCTGGGGCTGATGGGTGAGGCGCGGACGAAGTGTCTGCAGTCCAAGCTAGGCAAGGACGGGGTGGTGCTGCCACTGAAAGAGATTAGGAAGGAGCTGGTTAGCTCGGCAGGCACGGTGAGGGAGCAGCGGAGGTGGATTGGGGATGGGAGGGTGATCGAGTGGAAGGGAGTCATCAAACAGAGGGACTCTCTAGCCACTCCTGCCCGGGCAAGAGAAGTTCTGTTCAGGTTGCACTGTAGGAACCTTCAAGTGGGGGAGCAGCTTTTCTTTTTGAAAGAATGAGTGGTTTGTCCACACTGTCAGGCGGAGGAGACACCGGAGCATTGCCTGTTTGGCTGCCCGGCAATTCAAAGGGTAGTTCGGTTTCTGCGGAGAGGGCTGGCGGAGATGAACTCACATTTGAGCTGGCAAGGGCTGGAGGACTTGCTTTTCATGCAAAGAAGCACGAAGTCGGGTTTTCCGGAAAGCTCGTTCATTGCTACCACATTGCACCATGTGTGGCTGGCAAGATGCAACGCAAGTCGCCAGGGTATCAAACTCCAACCAAAGAAAGTGATACGGCAGGCAGTGGTTAAGTTTGTCGCGCACGCCAGAGTGTATTGTTTGGCGAGGCAAGTGGCGGCACGGAAACACGGCGTGGCTGCCTGTGATGATGAGTGGAAGCACCTGGCGGCGGATGAGGCGGTTGTGATGAAGCGGATATGCAGCAAAGGAACACCGCTGACGTGGAGGCACAATTTCAGCTCTATCTGGGACAACCCAAGGATGACTCATCAACCACCCTAGGTTCGCTATAGGGAATCCGCAGTACACGGTGCTGTGGCCCTTCCCTCCAGACACAGTTACGACTGCATGATGTGTTTGTACATTATCTTTTTAGTGTACTTTCTCGCATCAAAAAAAAAAGTACAAATCAAGATTAGTTGTATTAGGGTACATTCCGCTGTGGACATGCGTCCCAATCGATGTGTCCCAATCGGGTGTACCGCTCCGAACCGCACTAAACCAGAGAAGCGAAAATTTTGAAACTAGGGTGTAATTCGGTGTAATAAGATGCAGTGCGGTAGAATCGATTGGGACACATCGATTGGGACACATGTCCAAAGCGGAATGTACCCTTAGTACTATTTATGGTACCTAATCCCTTGTGTTAGTTGTCCCATCTTAGCGGCTAATATACTCCTCTACTCCAAGCGTCTCGTCAGCTACAAAATACACAGTGATATGCAGGAAATTATGTGATCTCAGCAAACATTCTCTTTCTATCTGCTTCTCTTCATCGCAGGGCCATCCAATAGGCCTTTTCTCAACATGTACTGAGTTCCAAATAGGCTCTGGAATTATATTTCGTAAACCTCGCTCCTCAGTCTCTCCAATTTCCCTCAATTCTCCGTTTCCCCTCCCTCCCTCCTCTCCTTTTCCTCCAGACGACACTCTGGCTATCCTCGCAGCTTAGAAACTCTCGCTGATTCGTGCGCAAAAACAGCAGTCATGCCCACTTGCTTCATCCGACAGACAAAAGCAGTCGGGTGATTGTGGCTGCCACCTCAGCAGCATCAACAGCCATGGCCACTTGCACTGGCGGCACCCCCACCCATGGGTTGGGACCGTTCCAACTGATGGGTAGACGGGGAGAGGAGAGGGAAAACGTGCATGATGTGAGGCACTTGGACAATGCACTTGCACTGGTGGTACCCCCACCCATGGGTTGGGACCATTCCAACTGATGGGAGGTGGGAGGGAAGGAGGACGTGCATGTTGTGAGGGGCCTCAAAAGTACGCATGCCCTGACGGCGCTCCCGTCCATGGGATGGGGCCATTCCAACTGATGGGAGGCCAGAGGAAGCACATAGGGTGGCGGTTCACACATGCACGCACGCGCGCACGCACGCACGCACGCACGCACGCACGCACACACACACAGCTGACGTACACCTCAAAGATAGAACCATCACTTGTTGAGCGAGTAGTCCATGAGAGTGCACCCCCGGCCAACCCGTATGCACTCAGCTTGTACACTACTGAACGTACAACTGAAAGAAAAAAGTCACTCACTTTTTAAGCGAGTAGTCCATGAGAGTCCATCCCCAGCCCACCTCAGTGCTGACCTCGACTCATCACATTGCTGAACGTGCACCTGAAAGATAAAGTCGCTCACTTGTTGAGCGAGTAGTCCATGAGAGTGCATCCCCGTCCCACCCCAGTGCACTCCACACACACACTGCCACGCTTGAAGGAGAAGAGTGAGGGCGCTATGATCGCTGCCACTTACTAGAATACTAAGAGCACATTTCACTTACTTTCTCAGCGAGTAGTCCATGAGAGTGCACCCCCGACCCACCCCGGTGCACTCCACACACACACTGCCTCGCTTGAAGGAGAAGAGTGAGGGCGCTGTGATCGTGCCCATACTGAGAGCACATTTCACTCACTTTTTCAACGAGTAGTCCATGAGAGTGCATCCCCGGCCCACCCCAGTGCTCTCCACACGCACGCTGCCTCGCTTGAAGGAGAAGAGTGAGGGCGCAACTATTGCTGCCACTGCACACGCATCGTGCAGGAAGATTCCTGGAAGGCAGAAAGCAGGGAGAAGGTTAATGAGTGCACAAAAGGCAAAGCAATGGCCAGATGTGAGGAAGAGGGGATGCAACGGAGTGACGCTAAAGCAGTGTGAAGTGCACCATAACCACCACAACCCACGCACAACCCACCACAACCCATGCACTATCCATGTGATCGGACTGTTGGTGGTGTGCCCTGTATGCCTGCAGGCTGCACCAGGCGCAGCACCAGAGACGCTGCTGCTGGTGGTGCTGATGCTGGTGCTTATGAGTAAGCAGCGCTGCTCTCACCTGCCACCAGTGAACACTAGTGCAGCAGGAACAAGAGCGCCCAGTGCACACAAGAACCCACCACACCCCACGCACCATCCATGTGATCGGACTGCTGGTGGTGGGCCCTGTATGCCTGCACCAGGCGCCCCACCAGAGACGCTGCTGGTGCGGGCGAGGCTGCATGCTGGGCCCCGTTCTCGCTCTTGCTCTCGCTCTTATCTGCCTCCACAGACGCCGCTGCTGCTGAGGATGCAGTGCCGTGCTCGCTCTCGACTGCTGCTGGAGGGGCTGCTGTGTCTTGCGTGCATAGGGAGGTAAGGTCTGTACCTGGTGGGCAGAAGGGGCGAGAGGGGAGGGGGGTGAGGTTCGGATGAAGGAGCAGAAGAAGAGAGCATAAGGGGCAGGCAGAAGGGGTGAGAAGGAGGCATGGAGATGATTAAGGGGCATTACAAACGCTGATGGTGGCCCGCACGTGACGCGCATTTTGAGGCGTCTTTCTAGGCGGCTTCAAGTGCGGCACGTTACGAGTGGTACGAGTGGTACGAGTGGTACGAGTGGTACGAGTGGTACGAGTGGTACGAGTGGTACGAGTGGTACGAGTGGTACGAGTGGTATCGATGAGATGAGCCCCAGCACGTTGATATTGGCTTGGCGCCACTCGTCAGCAGCACCCTGCTCTGTTCTGTTGGCCTTGCGTGAGGCACGCACGGTTGAGGTGCCTTATTAGGCGACTTCAAGTGCAATACGAGTGGTAACAAAACAATGAGCCCCAGCACTGAGGTGTATTTTAAGGCGCCTCAAAATACAATACGAGTGGTATTGATGAGATGAGCCCCAGCACGTTGATGTTGGCTTGGCGCCACTCGTCAGCAGCACCTGAACTGTTGGCTGTACCACACTGGCCTGGCCTGGCCTGGCCACTGGCCCCTAATGGTGTGACTTTTGAGTCGACTCAAAAGTCAACACGTCAGCAGCACCTGATATGTTGGCTGGCCTGCCTCTTACTGGTGCTATAAAGGGACGCTTTTAGTAGCATGCGTATCAGAAAAAACACCAGTGAGTGCAATGCGCCGTAGTAACATGCACATTGAAAAGGAATGACTCGCTACACACCTGTGAGTGCGACCTGTGTGGTGACGTTGAGTCCCAGCACATGGATGTTGGCTCCACTCGTCAACACCTGATCCGCTGCCTCGGGGTCTGCAAACACCTGCCGTGGAGAGAAGCAGAGGGGTAGAGAGGGGTGGAGAAGGGCAGAGGCAGGGCCGAGAAATGAGGTGCCACTCGACAGCACCTGGTTCACGGCCTCGGGGTCTGCACTGCAAACACCTGCCGTGGAGAGGAGCAGAGGGGAGTGGGAAATTGAGAGGTGGGGAGGGGTGGAGAGGGGCGGAGAGGAGTGGAGGAAGTGTCAAATTCGGAAGTGTCAATTCTGATCCGCGGCCTCAGGATCTGCAAACACCTGCCATGGAGAGAGGCAGAGGGGCAGAGAGGGGTGGAGAGAGGCAGAGGGGAGCAGCGGGGAGCAGAGGGGAGCAGAGAGGGGCAGAGAGGGGCGGAGAGGAGACTCAGCACTAGCGGATGTTGGTGCCCTCTCTGTCATGTCAGCATCTGGTGCTCTGCCACGGGATCGGCAAAGAGGGGAGAGGTGAGGGTAGCAGCGGGGAGAGGCGAGGGGAGAGGCCCTGCAAGCGGCCCTCATGAAACCCCAATCACTGTTGGAACAACCTCGGGGTCTGAAAGCACCTGCAGTATGGGGGGGAGAGAAGATGTGAAGATACAGGCATGGCATAGTTGGTGAAGGGAGCAGCGGAGAGAGGCGACGGAAAAATCCCAAGCCCAAACACTGTTGGAACAAGCTTGGGGTTTGCAAGCACCTGCAGTGGCGGGGGGGAGAGAGGGGGAGAAGATGTGAAGACACAGGCGTAGTTGGAGATAGAGGAAGGGGAAGAGGAAGTGCAAGGGCACGAGCAAAAGCAAGAGCCAGTTTAAGTCAAGATTGTCATCCCTCACACACGCGTTTCCTCACTTCTCAACCGGTCCTCCCTTCCTCCCCGACACATTCTCTCTGATGGTCCGCCCTTCTCTCTCCCTCCCAAGAAGATCGAGCTATCCCATTGCCCTTCCCTTCCATCCCCCCTTCGCTGCACTGCACCTCCTTCCTGCTACACCTTACACGCCAATACCATTAGCCCCGTGCACTCACGCTCTCTTCTGCAGCAGTGTTAACATCCCCACTGGCAAAGAATGAACCCCCCACCACCCAGACGACTCCCAACCCCACTGCAGCCCTGAGCAACCCACCCAACCCCCCCAGCACTCACGCTTTCTTCTGCAGCAGCGTTGACATCCCCACTGGCGAAGAATGAACCACCCACCACCCAGATAGCCGCCAGCTCCGATGCTAACGAGGGGCGGTGGGAGAGGGCCTGGTGGGAGGAAAGGGGGGGGGGAGAGGGGAGGAAGGGAGGGAGGGGGGGAGGAAAGGGGGGGGGAGAGGGGAGGAAGGGAGGGAGGGGGGAGGAAAGGGGGGGGGGGAGAGGGGAGGAAGGGAGGGAGGGGGGAGGAAAGGGGGGGGGAGAGGGGAGGAAGGGAGGGAGGGGGGAGGAAAGGGGGGGGGAGAGGGGAGGAAGGGAGGGAGGGGGGAGGAAAGGGGGGGGGAGAGGGGGAGGAAGGGAGGGAGGGGGGGAGGAAAGGGGGGGGGAGAGGGGAGGAAGGGAGGGAGGGGGGAGGAAAGGGGGGGGGGAGAGGGGGAGGAAGGGAGGGAGGGGGGAGGAAAGGGGGGGGAGAGGGGAGGAAGGGAGGGGAGGGGGGAGGAAAGGGGGGGGGAGAGGGGGGGGGGGGGGGGGGAGGAAGGGGGGAGGGGGAGGAGGAGGAAGGGGGGGGGAGGGGGGGAGAGGGGAGGAAGGGAGGGAGGGGGGAGGAAAGGGGGGGGGAGAGGGGAGGAAGGGAGGGAGGGGGGAGGGGGGAGGAAAGGGGGGGGGAGAGGGGAGGAAGGGAGGGAGGGGGGAGGAAAGGGGGGGGGAGAGGGGAGGAAGGGAGGGAGGGGGGAGGAAAGGGGGGGGGAGAGGGGAGGAAGGGAGGGAGGGGGGAGGAAAGGGGGGGGGAGAGGGGAGGAAGGGAGGGAGGGGGGAGGAAAGGGGGGGGGAGAGGGGAGGAAGGGAGGGAGGGGGGAGGAAAGGGGGGGGAGAGGAGGGGAGGAAGGGAGGGAGGGGGGAGGAAAGGGGGGGGGGAGAGGGGAGGAAGGGAGGGAGGGGGGAGGAAAGGGGGGGGGAGAGGGGAGGAAGGGAGGGAGGGGGGAGGAAAGGGGGGGGGAGAGGGGAGGAAGGGAGGGAGGGGGGAGGAAGGGGGGGGGGGAGAGGGGAGGAAGGGAGGGAGGGGGGAGGAAAGGGGGGGGGAGAGGGGAGGAAGGGAGGGAGGGGGGAGGAAAGGGGGGGGGAGAGGGGAGGAAGGGGGGAGGGGAGGAGGAAAGGGGGGGGGAGAGGGGGGAAGGGAGGGAGGGGGGAGGAAAGAGGGGGTGGGGGTGAGGAAGGAGGGGAAAGGGGAAGCGTTCAGCACTGGGTGGAGCAAGTGGGCGAGGAAGGAAAGGAACCTACCACCACCCAGATGGCCCCAGCTCCGATGCCAGAGAGGGACGGAGAGTGAGAGCCTGGTGGGAGCAACCGTTTGTGACAGAAGGGAGTAATGCGAGAAGAGAGAGCGGAAGCGGTGAAGAAGGAGCCGCCAGCCTTGAATTCTCAGGAGTGACCCGGATGGGTCGATTTTAGAGTCTGACTCAAAAATCGACTCATCTCACACAGGAGTGACCCGGATAGTTGTAGCCTTGGGTGCTGCAGTTGTCATTGCTGCTGGGGGAGGGCTGATCAGTGGTGTGTCGGGGATGCGTGAGAAGGGGGGGGAGCAGAGTAGCAAGGGCAGGGAGGTGAGGGGGATGAGGGTGCGTACACACAAGGTGTAAGGAGTCACGGACTGCTAGAAGCACTTCCCTGAGAGAGCTTGGTCATCGTTCTGAACTGAACTGCATGATGCGAATCTGCCTGCTCTGCCCTCTTCCCAACCTCCTTTTGAGTCGACTCAATGGTCACCTGGGTGGGTGAGGTTGGCCCCTTGGCACAGGGCACACAGCACACTTACCTGGGCGAGGTTGGTTCTGCTGGGTCCCAGCTGCACCATGCTCATCTGCCAGGGCCTGCCCTAGCCTCCTTGCCTCCTCTATTTGAGCCATCATGAAGGTACTCGCTACAATGCCACACACACACACACGGCACAAAAACACTCACCTGGGCGAGGTTGGTCATGGGTCCCAGCTGCACCACAGTGACCTGCCCTGGCCTCCTCTCCACCTCCTCACACATCCACTCCCACGCCCTCCGCTCCTCCGCCCCCTCTCCATCCCCCCTAGCGACAGTAGCAATATGAGTGGAGTCTAAGGTATCAGTGATGCCATTAGCGGGGTCGCCCCGTTGAATTGTTGGAGTTGCAGCAGGCAGCTGCACGCCTGCCAGCCCGTCAGGGCCCAGAAACGAGGAGCATGCAGGCAGGGAGGGAGCGGTAGGGGTGCTGCTGCTGCCGCTGGTGGTTGCGGTGGTCTCAGGGGTGCTTGCCTGTTGAAGAAGAGAAACGAGAGGAAGAAAAGGGAGGCATGGTGGGCGGGCCGGTGGAAGAGAGGAGCGTGGTTGCGAGGGGCGATAGAATGGTGGTCGTGGTGGTGGTGGTAGTATTTTCCTAACAAAGGCTTGGAATGCTGATCAAGAAACCACACGAGAGGGAGGGAGGGAGGAGGAGAGAAAGCACACAGGGAGTGTCTTGGAAGGATGAAAACAAAAGCAGAGGCGATGGGGGGAAAGGAATGTTAGTTGCAAAAAGGGAAGATTCGGTAGGTGGGGGAAGGAAAAGTAAGGCACAAGAACAGAGGAGCCACGGAGAAAGGGCGTACTGCTGATGCTGGTGCGGTAGAGAGCGGTGCTGTGGCGCCCTGAACAACGGTCGTGTCTGGTCTACCTGCTGCTATGCACTGGGAGAGAGTGGGAACGGAAAATAGGGCGAGGCAGGTTGGGGAAGGGGGGGGTTGTTGAAGGGGAGATGGAAGACGAGGGGGACAGATGAGAGGGACCTAGAAGACGTTGTGGAGCGATGGGGTAGGAATGAAACAGTGGGGAGGATGAGAAACAACTAAAAGCGAAAGGTATATTCCCTGTCCAAGGTAGACACAACTGACAAAAAAAGAGTTGAACAACAAATGTTCTTCAAATCAACACATTGAATGCTGTTAGCAAGGGAGGATTTAATAAAAAGGGGCACAGTAAGCCCACCAGGCCTCGAGCGTTGCGTGTGGCAGCTTCACACGTCACATAGTGGCTGAATGACGTGGCAATACCGAGCACACGAATGGACGGGCACTTCAAAGCGGAGAGGATGGCCAAAGCGTCGTCTGGATGGCGGATGGAGGGGGGGGGGAGAGAAGAAGACGGAGGGACGGACGAGAGGAAGGGGGGATAGAGAAGAGAAGAAACGGAAGCGTGGAGGGTGAGGGACGAGGCTGACAATATTGCAAGTCATGATATGATTCGTGAGCCAAGGCGTCGCCTGGATGGCAGAGGGGAGGGGCGGCGAAGAGAAAGGGGAGGAAGGGGGATGTGTGAGGGGATGCTGAGATCGGGGAGAGAAGAGGGTGAGGAGGAACGAGATTGGCAAAATCACAAAATTCCAACTGGAAACGCGGCCGCTGAGCAAAAATCCAGGTTGAGGTGCTAGAAACGGGAGTGACAGACGGAAGGAGAAGGCTCTCTGAGACTGCGGAAGCTTCTGAGATGCCGACGTTGGCGCTCGACATAAAGCGGGAACATATTCGCGACATCAGAAGCCCGACAATATCTTCTCCCCTGATGCGTTTTAGGATGAACTATAAACTTAGGACAAACGTGGCCTCGGTTGTATTCTGACGATTAGCGGCGACTTGCGGCGAAGCGAAACAGGCCTGCTCAGCCTTATCGATAAGCATATGAATGGTGACGGCGAATCACGACCCTGCACTGACCCACCTATGCCTGGTGAAGCGTTGATAATAACATCGATCGGAGCAGGCGCGTCTGGCGCCATGAACTATTTGGGATTTGGGAAGACAGTCGCAGCTGAAGGTGGTGTGGCTGACAGTACAGAGGCCATAAATTGATTTTGTTCAACGGAACCGACGAAATTGATGGCGAGAAGCCCAAATCAGCGCGAACGACTGCTGACGATAAAGTTACTACATTGACTTGGGCTTTCTCTCGATCCATCCAAATGGGGAAGGCGAGGAGCATCACCGTGGGGATGGAAGACCCCCAACCCAACGAGCAGCGAAACGGTAACACGAGATGCGATGCAACTCGTGGATCACCCCTAGGTTCCCATCCAACATGCAACGAGGCGAAACCAGGGCTGCGAACACCGACGAAATTATGGCAGCAAACCACGGCGGTCTTTCCAACGATGCGAAACCACGGAAGCAGATCTCACGAACCCACTGCTTGCTCCGAAGCATGAAGCTGAGGACGCGGCACATGTTTTGTCTTTTCCAGGATCGAGGGGGATCGAAGCGGGTACACCGATTCTCTCACATCGATCCGCACATCGATGTGCACACACTGCAAATTTGCAGTGTAATAGACACGTCGAGCCATGGGTGCCAGGATCGAAATTGCAAGATCGGGCAGGTAGGTTCCGCAGCGAAATACACCAGTAACTTTGTCGTCAACCATTCAGAGCAGAGCACAGATGGTCGTTATCGAATTATTGATTGCCTGCGACTGTAGGCGATGCCGATCGATCGCGGCTGTCACCTGTGGCGCGATGTGGCCTCCCGCCAACCCAAACGCAAGATCGATGTGTGCACCATGGCACATCGAACGTGCGGGCTGCGGGTGCCACCATTTTGGTGACCAGTTTACTGTACATTCTCGACTTTATGCGAAAAAAACGGATACCAGTCATTGACGATATCGTCAACACATTGTACAAGCGGCACATCGATCCCCTCCCACGATCGATCCTGGCAAAGTCAAAACAGGTGCCGCGTCCTGACCGCAGCTAATCCAGCAATTCCCCCATAGGAATGAAGCTCCTTCCAGATCCAGCCTTCACCATCACTAGCACTGTCCCGCACTCTTGGCTCTAGTTTTCCAAATCCTCTGGTATATTTTAGTTCACTGCCACGTTTGAACGGCTCTAGTCCACCATAGTTCGCAGCAAGGCGGCACTGACGATGTCTCAGGTTGGAACAGATCCATCGTCCCGAGCCCTGGTGTCGCGTCCCCGTAGAATCAGGTTGCGAGCGTCTTTAGATAGGTTACCCCGCGATCTTATAAGCCTCATCTTTCGTTGCCTAAACAAGCAGTCACCCAGCTACTTCAATCACGCGTTGGTCTGTAAACGCTGGAATCGCCTCGCTTACCTTGCACAGACGTCCATCGCCAACAGTCCGCCTCGCCTTACTGCAGATGCTGCACTTTTGGCCTCTCTTTCCCGGTTCAGACACCTAACTTCTCTTAAAATCGACGAGTGCGTTCTCGACGAGGACAATGGCGTGTTTCTCTACGAACTAGGATCGTGGTGTCCCAGGTTAACTCATCTTGATCTGGGCAACGGTTATCGAGAAGCCTTGACGTATGAAGCTGCAGATAGCCTCTTCACGGGCTGCACTTCTTTGCAGTACCTCTTGCTTACCATGAAGACAGCAGATTTTTGTGGATTGCCTTCATCCTTCTTCAACCTTTCATCCCTGACGGAGGTCAATCTCAACGTCGACTTCGATGAAATTCCTGACAAATTCGACCAGCTAAGATTTCTGACTAAGCTGACACTCAACGATGTGTGTAGCGACCACCTCCCAGAATCACTTGGCTATCTCACCAGCCTTACCGAGCTGCAGTTGTCAACATCCGAAACGTTTGATCGATTGCCTGACTCCATCGGTTGCCTGAAGTCGTTGGTCAAACTCAGCATTCATAATCTCGACGTGTTGGGAACTCTTCCTGCTACCATCAGCCAGCTTCAGAACCTCCAAGAGTTTTACGCAAATGACATCAACTGTTTGAAATTACCGGATTCCTTTTTCCAACTTCGTTCGCTTCAAGTTCTCGATCTCTTGTATTGTGGAGATATCGGATCCCTTCCAAGCGCGGTATCAAGCCTCGTTTCTCTTAAGACTCTAAGCATCAGAAGTTGCACGCTTTCTTCGATTTCTGAATCTCTCTGCACTCTTTCTAACCTCCGTGTGTTGGTCCTTAGGAATTGCACAATGCTCAGGGACCTTCCACGGAGTATGGATCGAATGACATCTCTGGAGCATCTGGAGCTGTGCCAACTCAGCAGCCTTACTCACCTTCCGAGTACCATCTCCAAGCTTTCCAATCTCCGCTCGTTCTCCTTCAGATACTGCGACAACATTGACATGGTCCCGCCATCCCTGACGCAGCACTGGAGCAGTCTCACGTCTCTTGAGTTTAGCTGGCCAGACAGCTGCCTAGAAGACTCCAAGGGTGAAGACGAGTTCATGTCGTCCGTTCGCCAGCTCTCAAATTTGTCAACGCTCCTCCTGGTCGGCTTTGTCGGCCTAAATTCACTTCCGGTAGGGATTGAGAAACTTTCCCAGCTGCGGCGACTGACGTTAAGCTCCTGGCCTGACCTTGAGCGGTTGCCAAAGGACATGAGCGGTTTCACCTGCCTGACGAACCTCGTGATCACTGGATGCCCACTCTTTGTGGATGACGACGAGGGTGATCCAATCTCCACGATTCCAAACCTGGAGAGCGGGTGTGTTGATGGTCGAGTGCTGGGAAAAAGGCCATTTGGGGGAAAGGGGTGAGTGGAGGGGATACCGGTAAGTGGGGGTGCTACTGGTGTGTTTGGATATGCAGGACGTTTCTTGGTCAATGCCATGATGATTAATAGGTTGTGGAAGGAGGGTAGAGATTCTGTGTAATCTTCTAAAGTTGAACTTGACATTACGGTAGCTGTGAGGGTGGGCAGTAAGCAATTGTTTTCTTTCTCATTGTCATGTGTTTTGTCAACATGGAAGCTACGGTACCTACCTACTCTATTAACATAGGTTGCTTATCTTGCGGTCCTACGCTGTTGAAGAAATTTGAACTCAAAAGCTTGCAACCACTGCTGCCATGCCAACACAACACATCCACATTCGAGCTACCTACCACCACAGCACCTCCCTGGTCTGGCATAGTGCGTGTACCACCGCCACTGCACCATCTCCCAGGTGTGGCAATCAATCCTCACAGTTGGCTGCACCCTCTCTGATACGGTAGGTATGCACAGAGCACTTCCACTTTGAACTCCGGCTGCTTCTATTCGCGATGTGCAAGGCACCTGGCCTGTCAGAATGTTATATTCTCTAGCCTGCAGTGGGGTACTCAATAGTGAGTACGGCCCCCTTAGGGTTTGCTATTTGTACTCAACTGCCTGCTAGTTCAACCCCTCTTTCTGTTTCTAACTTTCTCCTGCTTAGTTTCTCGACATGCTATCAGAGCAGGTCGACCCCCTTGGGTCGATCCTGTGGGTGGGCCCACCACCTAATGCTTCCGCTGCTGTACTACTTGTCGCGCGCCTCGGTCGCGCGACGCGAAAAAATTTTGGGTTTTCATCCTACCGTGCGCTCGGGGCGCGCGGCGGTTTTCTGCCCGCCGTGCGCCCCGAGGCGCGCGGCGGTTTCCTACCGTGGGGGACCCCCGCGCGCCCCCGCCCTGTCCGTTGCGGCGCCCTGGGGGACCCGTGTGCAGCCCCCGCTGCCCCGTCGGCGGTCGCGTCACCCCGCCACCCCGTCACGCCGCCTTGGGGAGCCGCGCGCGACCCCTCGCTGCCCCGTCGACGGTCGCGTCGCCCCGTGGGACCTGCGCGCGATCCCCGTCGACCCTTGCGTCGCCCCCCGGAGACCCGCGAGCCGCCCCTGGAGCCGTGCGCGACCCCTCCCCTGCCCCGTCGCGGCGCCCTGGGGGGCTGCGCGTGGCCCCTCGCTGCCCCATGGTGGCGCCCTGGGGGCCGCGCGCCTTCCCCCTTGCCGTCCCCCGCGCTCCTACCCCATTCCGCCCGTTTTAGGGTTTGGGGGTGGGGAGTGTGGGGGTGGCGGTTGTGGGGGTGCCGGTTGTGTGCCCCGTCCCCTACTCCTCCTCCTCCGTCTCCCGCTGCTGCAGCTGCCGCTCAGGGGGGTGGTTGTGTGGGGAGCCGAAGGAGTGGTGCTAGGGGGGTGACGTGGGAGTGGAGCTAGGAACGCAGCTGGGGGTGTGTGTCAGGGGGGTGGGACTGTTTGGGGAGGTTGAGCGGAGGCGGCCGTCGTGTCGTCCGCAGCGCCTGTATTCCGGGGCACACTGTCTCGGTAGCCACTGAGAGCCTGCTGCACCAGTCGCCAGTGGGTCCGTTGCTCCTGCCGCTGCTGATCAGCCGCAGAGCCTGTTACTCCTGTATTCCGGGGCACACTGTCTCGGTAGCCACTGAGAGCCTGCTGCACCAGTCATCTGTGTCAGCCGCCACTGTGTCAGCCGCTTCTGTTGCCCGTGTGTCTGCAGCCTCAGACGTTGTCTCCCATCTTCTCTCCCCTCACGGTCCTTCCTCCTCCTCACTTGCCATCTGTGACTGCCTCTAGCTTTGCTCATAACTGTGAACTATTGCTATGAATGCTGATTGTGCTGATTACACCCCACTTTGGCTATGGGGGTGTGTCAGAATGTTATATTCTCTAGCCTGCAGTGGGGTACTCAATAGTGAGTACGGCCCCCTTAGGGTTTGCTATTTGTACTCAACTGCCTGCTAGTTCAACCCCTCTTTCTGTTTCTAACTTTCTCCTGCTTAGTTTCTCGACATGGCCTGCAAGCAGACATGCTTGAATGCATTCCTAATTAGGGCGTGTGAACCAGGGCTCTCGTTAGCAGACCAATTTGGTCTGATGGTCTGCGTTTCAGACTTAATTTTCTTATTTCAGATGATCTGTAAGACTGCACTTTATTTTTCAGATGGTCTGTAAGACAAAGGATTTTACTTCAGATACATTTTCAGATCGCACACTATTTTTCATCTGAGACTCCAGATAAGGAGTACGATTCCGTCTGAAACCGACATTTCTGCCCTGTTGTCCATGGGGCCACTAGTTCGGGTGTCTGCCAGCCTGTATACAGGCATGCGTAATGAATGCTACTGTCCCGTAGCATCCGCGCTGGAGGAAACAGCACCGCTGGCAGCAGTTAACTATGTGCAATGCTGCCAGCACTTTGTCGCTGCGTGGGTGTCGGCGCCGATGCCAGCCACACCCAGGCACCGACACTGTCATTTTGTGTCCTGGGGTGACCTGTATGCATCACGGATGCACGTAGCTGTGGTTCCCCGCCCACACCCGCAGCGCGCATCACTCTGACGTGCTACGAGACGAGGGTTTGAGGGACCAAACTGGGGGCACACCCTCCATCTTCTACATCCTTTTCTTCCGCTGCACTCGACTAGCCTCGCAGTGCAGTTTTCCACGTTCACCATACCATCTGATGGCCATTCCAGAGGAGAAAGACCCCCCTGGAGTCTCGGCACTAGATTTTCTCACCAGGGGCAAGTCGATCCCCGTCGTTGCACCCCCCGTTGCCTCGTGCTCAAGCCGGGTTATACCAGCGGACAACGCCTCCCCAGACCCTGTGGCCGAAGAAAATGCGGACGGTGGCATGCCCAAGGCTACCACGCCCACGTCGACGAGTATACCAGCATCTGGCCGTGAATCCATCCGCCCCGTCGTTTCAGTTGCAACAACCTCCAATCTACGGGCTAACCCGTGCTCCCTGACAGGGCTTTTGTGAAATCTAAATACAAGCAGCGGCGGCTTAACTTTTCCCGTCCCGCAGGTCCGACGTTGCCCGCGCCATCGGAGACGGTCCCGCCCGCCACTCGTCAATCCACCGACGACGATAACGAAGCCGAGGAGAAGGGCACAACGAAGGGACGTCGGCCGTTGACTGTGGAAGAGCTGCAGCTCAAGTGTAAGGAGCAGTGGCTTCGCTACTTCCCGTGGCTCTTCATCAGTGAGACGAAGGACGGGCGACCTTGCATGCGCTTCAGCATCTGTATGGTGTTCGGGGACCCGCACTACAAGTACGGCCGTTATGGTGAGGGCGGCCTCGACATTCAGAAGCAGACGATGCGCAAGCATCATTTCAGCGTGAAGCACGAGGCGGCGGTCCTGCAGAAGGAACAACGTGACGGCCTGAAGAAAGGGCAGCAGACTATGGTCGCTTACGACAAGGGGGACGACGACGCCAGGCGAATTGCAAAACTAATGGCAATCGCATTATTCGTCTGCAAATCTGACACCCCTACTGTGCTGTTCGTTGCGCTTGTGCAATTCATGGCTGAGCAGGGCACGCCGGACATGCCCTTGAAGGAGAATGGCACCTATTACAGCGAGTAAGATATTGTATCCCGTATCGCGTATCTGTGTTGCTACTCCACAAATCTAATGGCTATTCATGTTTATGTGTTGCAGGTATGGGTTCGCACAGCTGGTGGCAACCATGGTGTCATACCTGCGGTCCCGTCAGCTGGAGTACATCCGCGCCAGCCCCTACCTCGGGATCCAGCTGGACGAGAGCACGGACCGAAGGCGCGGGAAGCATATGATCGTCTACCTGACATTCCTGCGCGAAAACCTACCAGTCACGGAGTTCTACACCCTGCTATCGGTCGAGCAGTGTGATGCCGCCTCGCTGCTGACGGGCCTGCTGACGCATTTTGAGACAACGGGGATCGATCTGCAGCGCATCTCCGGTATGAGCACGGACGGCGCTTCAGTGATGACTGGACAGCACAACGGGCTGGTCGCGCGCCTGCGCGCGAAGGTTCCTCATCTCGTTTCGTGTCACTGTGTCGCACACAGGTAAGTTCGTCCGGGTTGTTTATTGATGCGTGTATAAACCGTGTACTGACTTTGTATCTGTTTAAACTTGCAGGGAGGCGCTGGCAGCCAAAGATGCAGCAGCCGCGTATCCTGACCTTCAGATTGTGGACAAGGCTGTCCGGTCCGTGGTCGACATTCTCGGGCGCCTCGTTGTTCACACGCGATTCAAGGAGCTCCAAGAGGTCATTTGCGAGACGCATCTCGAGATGCAGGGGATAAAGGACGTGAGGTGGCTTTCCTGAGGCAATGCGATCCAGCGACTCGTCGCGGTGTTCCCTGCTGTTGTGATCGTCCTGCAGGAATTCGACAAGAAGATGTATAAGACCGTGACGAGTTTCAAATTTCACTTCTTACTCTACTTGCTGGCCGATGTGCTGAAGGAGCTGAACCAGCTCAACTTGAAGTTCCAGACATGGCAGGTACGTGTTGATGTTTGCGCTTTACTCCACCCGTTTTGTTTGGTAACATTCTAACTTCTATCTGCGTTGTGCTTATGCAGATTGACGCCACCCATGTGCTGCAGATGGTACACAACACCACACTGCTGCTGCGGACTCGTTACCTCGACAGCAAGGACGAGACGTTCGGGCAAGGCGGCGCGGCGCTGGGGCCATTCTTGGCGAAACATGCTTCGGAGGAGTGCCGGGAGGTGAAGGTCGATGCCCCAGATTCCACCGGAGCGCCGACAACTCACTGCTACCTGCTGCACGAAGAGGCTATCGTGGGGCAGAAGAGCAAAGGCGACCTCAGCGCCTGCTTGAAGCTTGGGCGGGAGTTCGTGGTTGAGCTGATTAAGCAGCTCGACTACCGACTGGAGGATCTCGCGTCGCTCAATGGGGCGAAGCTGTTCAAGAAGTCCCAGTACCCGAAGTCCGCGGCAAAGCGCGAGCGGCGGTTGGCGCAGTGGATGCAGTCTCTGCGCGACA